TCTTATAGAAGGATGAAGAGAGCAAAAACAATAAAAAAGGCGAAAAACCAAGATTTTATTCGTAATTCAATAATTCAATCTAAATAAAAATATACAATTTTCAAACCCGTTTAATAAAAAATAATAATGATAAAAATGATAAAAGGTAAGAAAAATATCATCATCGGAAGAATTAATCAAACGGGGGAGAAATGAATAAGAAAAAATTTTCAAATAAAAAATAAAGAAAATAATTATAAAAATATATGTATTATTATATATTTCTATCGTTCATTTACTTACCTACTACCTACATATTCGTATTCTGCTATTATAATTATTCATCAGATTCGCGCTCTTGCCACGATAAAGAAGAGGATGACAAAAAGAGATAGAAAAAAGAAATATATATATTTATATATTTATATATATATATATATATAAAAAGGCTTCAAGTATCATAAGTACTTTTTTTTTATAGAACAAAACAAGAGAAACAAAAAAAAAAGAATATTCTTTTTTGATGCAATAAGAGTAAAATATATATACGTGTATATATATAAAATGTATTATAAAGACTCAGTGACTCATCATCACACATTATTGTTTAATCATCCATTCATTCATTAATTCATTCATTCAGTACGTTGTTTCTTTTTCGCCGGTTGTAATTCATCCAACTCGGAGCGAAGTCTCGTGTTTTCCGTTTTAAGCATGTCGAGCTGTGCTTGCAAGTCTTGGATTGCTTGATCAGTTAGTAATTTCTCCAATGTCCACTTTTCGATATTGGCAGCCTCATTCTCCTTTAATTGTTGAATATATTGTACAGCACGATTGAGAATACTGCCTTTGTTTTTCTCGCACCCTGGGACAATTTTCGCCAATTCATTGATACCAGCATTTATGGTATCTCGGCGACGTCGTTCTACTTCCTTATGATTTTCTCGACGTTGTCTGTGCCATTCCTCACTGCCGACGGGGGGTTTACCAGAAGGCGTGGTTTGTGGCGTTGTTGTGGCTGACGCTGTGCTTGGTCTTAGCGGATGATGATGAAGTTGTGGTTGAATTTGATGCTGAGGTGTGTGAAGAGGAGTGGATGCAGTACTAGAAATAGCGGTCGGTGTTTGTTGTTGTTGTTGTTGTTGTTGTTGAAGATGCTGTTGTAACTGAGCAGCGATTTGTGCTTGTTGTACCGCTACCGGCGTTTGCTGTTGCTGTTGTTGAGGAGTCATCGGTGGCGCAGGTTGAATCGCCAGAGGCGCAGGATGAATTGCAATTGGTTCTTGTTTTGGCTGAAGCGGAGTTATCGTCGTGTTTGCTGGTGTTGTCGTTGTTGCTGCTGTTGTTGATGATGACAATGGTGTAGATGTTGACGTGTTAGAAATAGGAGTGGTGATATTATTATTATTATTATTAGTTGTATTGTTATTATTATTACTATTATTATTATT